AGTAACAACTTAAAAAAATGCTATGGGTAACAGGAGATGAGGCACACAAATGTCCAGTGGTGTGCTGGAGCTGCTTCACACTGGCTCTCTAGTGATAATTATTAAATTTTCAGGAATTTGAGAACTGGTTGCTAAACAGCCATTATTAAAAATTCAGTTATACTAACATACAATTAGGTAAAGGTAATAAGTACTCAAGACTTATTTCTTCCTAATTATTTTACATTTTACTACTATCCATGCTCAGCTATACTGGGCTGTGCGTCTCTTCCCAACTCTGCTTCAGTGATGTCATTTTAGTGATCCAAAATCAGCCATGGTGACAGTGTTTACACCGTGGGAACTGGCAATGCTGCCAGCCACGGCTTCCATGTCTGGAAACTGAATGGTGTACCTTTATAGCACACCAAGAACCAAACCACTGGCCCATGAAAACATTTGAAGGTCTGAAGCAAATGTTTACTTGGAAGATGAATAGGTTAAAATGTACAGAAACATGTCAGCCAGGCATGGTAGCTTACACCTGTAATCCCAGCACTTTGGGAGGCTGAGGCAGGCGGATCACCTGAGGTCGGGAGTTTGAGACCAGCCTGACTAACATGGAGAAACCCCGTCTCTATTAAAAACACAAAATTAGCCAGGCATGGTGGTGCATGCCTGTAATCTCAGCTACTTGGGAGGCTGAGGCAGGAGAATTGCTTGAACCCAGGAGGCAGAGGTTGTGGTGAACTGAGATCGTGCCATTGCACTCCAGCCTGGGCAACAAGAGTGGAACTCTGTCTCAAAAAAAAAAAAAAAAAAAAAAGTATGAAAACATGTCTTTAAGAAATCCTTCTCAAAATCGTGTAAGGGTTGAAGGCAATTTTTTCTCAACCTAAAGCTACAGTTGTTCTACAACATGGCTTTCATAACAAATATCAGTTACTAGTGCCCATCATTTATAGGACAACCTGTACACCATTACTTCTAGAAAAAAACAAATGTGTTGACTAGATTATGATACAAATTCTGAAGAGTGGGAGAGATCCCCTTCCTCTCTCCCTTTCAAACTTCTGGAAAGAGGAGCTTATTCTCAATCTATGTTTTCTCACCTCATCAGGCTTGGTTTCTGTCTCCACCATTTGACTGAAACCGCTCGAAGGTAACCCTTGACCTCCTTACTGCTAAATTCAATGGATTCTTTTGAGTCCTCAGTTCTACGGGCTCTCTGGTTTATTTCTGCCTCCTCCATTAGACTGAGTTAACAGAACAGAAATCCTACCTTCCATACTAGGCTTAGCCTAGCACAGTGTCTGAGGCCTCCTAGATGCTCCGCAATTGTTTGCTCAGTGGCTGGAAATGTAATCTCTGTAACCTTGGGCATGCCACCTCACTTCCATGGATGTCTGTTTTCTCAGACATGAAAAGAAGATGAGCCGGGCGCGGTGGCTCAAGCCTGTAATCCCAGCACTTAGGGAGGCCGAGACGGGCGGATCACGAGGTCAGGAGATCGAGACCGTCCTGGATAACACGGTGAAACCCCGTCTCTACTAAAAAATACAAAAAACTAGCCGGGCGAGGTGGCGGGCGCCTGTAGTCCCAGCTACTTGGGAGGCTGAGGCAGGAGAATGGCGTAAACCCGGGAGGCGGAGCTTGCAGTGAGCTGAGATCCGGCCACTGCACTCCAGCCTGGGTGACAGAGCGAGACTCCGTCTCAAAAAAAAAAAAAAAAAGAAAAGAAGATGAATCATGTGGGACCCCTTTTTTTTCCTTCGGTTTGTTGAGACTCAACTTTAAGGGTCTTGCAAGGGCTAAAACTCTCCCCCCGCCTGTGTTTTTTGTTTTTTTTTTTTTGAGATGGAGTCTTGCTCTGTCACCCAGGCTGGAGTGCAGTGGCGTGATCTCGGCTCACTGCAATCTCTGCCTCCCAGGTTCAAGAGATTCTCCTGCCTTAGCCTCCCAAGTAGCTGGGACTACAGGCACACGCCACCATGCCCATCTAATTTTTGTATTTTTACTAGAGACGGGGTTTCACCACGCTGGCCAGGCTGGTCTCAAACTCCTGACCTTGTGATCCGCCCACCTTGGCCTCCCAAAGTGCTAGAGTTATAGGCATAAGCCACCGAGACCAGCCAACATTCCCTATTTCAAGTGAGCGTTATAAGTGGATGTGTCCACTTTATTACCAGGCAAACTCCTGGATTTTCACCTTCTCTTTGGTCCTTAGGTCTAAGCTCCAAAGCTATCCCTTTGCCTTCTGTTGTTTCTTGGCTCAGAGTCAGGCTGAGTGACCTTGAGGAAGTTACATAGCCATCTTCCCAAGCCATACAGTTGGAATGAATGGGAGCTGTGCAAGATAAGCTGGCAAATGTTGAGAACTCCTGTGAGATCTGTAAACTGCAGTTACTGGAGCTACATCCCCAAACCTGAGTTACACATATTTTATCTTCATAACATTTCTCCTCTGGAGTTGATCCCCTTCAACTCCTTCATCATTTCGATTTCTTGTACTGAATTCCCTCAAGTCTAAAATTCTTTTTTTTCCCTAGAGCTGCAGAAATCAAGACCAAATAGTATCCAGATGCCACTTTCTACTCCAGCACTATAGGATTTACAGAGGGGGGGGGATCATCTTGCTAACGGCTCAGCGGCATTAAGATCCCATCAGTCAACAACATTCAAGTTCCTGTTCTCATCCTGAGGTCAAAGCTTCTGGTTCTCCCAGCTCATTATCCCAAATACTGATCGTCCTACATTTGCTTTCTTGCTCACTGTCTCCATGAGGTGTCCACCTATTGGGTCAAAGGCCCCAACATGGCACGGTCACCTCTGAAATTAAAAGAAGAAAACGCATTCACCTTGCGCATACACATACATAAAGAGCAGTCCAACAATACTCACCTGAATGTTAAGATTAGTCAGCAAGCCATTAGAAATGAATCTAAATGATGTAGGGCAGAGTTCAGTGACAAGTCATGAGATAAAGGAAACACACAGGGCTCAAGCTGATTAAAAAGATAATTAGTTGTGGAAAATAAGGTTGGGTTCCAGCCAAGAATTTGTCTTTGACAAAGATAAACCAAAGGCTTTGATACAGTCATTTTGGGGGGTATTTAGTTGTTCTTTTATAGGAGTTGAAGAGCAAGAACAAAGCAATAGTCAGTTTCAAAGTGCAGCTCAACTCCCCCTCTGTTTTTTGTTCTGCTCATAAACATACAAGCTATTTCCTTTCATCTGCACAGGCTCATACAATATGGAGATCCCACAATAGATTTACACCAGATTTAAAGATGAATGTGCAGAGCTGTGGTCAAGCCAGAGATCTTTTGGCCTAAGAAAGATCTCAATGTCCCTGGCTGGAATTAAAAAACAAAAAAACAAAACACACACACACACACACACACACACACACACACACAAATAAGAGAAAGCTCTTCAAGACCAAAAAGGCTTTAACAGTGAAAAGGAAAAGAGGAGCATCTCTTACCCAAATTGTTAAAACCCACAAAGATGCTTGAGATGTCTAGTAACAATGCAAAGAGCTTTAATCTTTACATAGGGAATGGGGAAAATTTTCCATAGGTGGTCGGATATATGGGGGGAGCTGACAACACGGAAAGGGGAGATGCTCATGATGCCAGATACTCTATGTGGATCTGAAACTGCAACTCCAATGGTTCTGCGAAACTACTTGCCTGAAATACTGTTTTGATAAATAAGCCATATCCTTGTGGAATTGAAATCTCCAACTGTTTCACTGGCACGGACATCTCTGCAGTGACAGCTCATGCCCCAGATTGTGGAGTTAACTTGAATTAAATTTCAGATGTGGGGGAGCTAAGGGAGGGGGGTGGTGGCAGTGGGAGGTTTATGAACAGTATGCTGGGGCTCTGATGTTGTCATAACCAGATGGCTTCAACTGTATCATTTAAAACAAAAACAAACATGCCCAGAAAGAATGAAATAATGACAGGAGCATCAAGTAGCTTTACCTGTACCTGAAATCCCAACAGCTTTGTACCCACAGTAAAGCCCAAGTTGGAAATTCCATAAAATACTGAAGCTCCCAGAAGGAACCTTCGTCCTGACAGAAGCGAGGCGCCAGGACTGCTATCCTCCTGAGGGCATAGTCCCTGAACTCACCAGCCTCTCAACCCACAGCTGTCTGTGAATGAAGAGGAAAGCAAATCTGAAGCCTGGTTTGTCCTTCTGGAACCTCTGAAGAACAGGCCAGCAGAGGCACCTTTCCAGAGCTTTGTTCTTGCTATTCCCACAGGAAGGAAGCTTTACTTTCAGTTTTGTACCTAAACATTTCAGAAATGGAACTTCCTCCAGTTAATTACATAATCTTCAGGATACTCCATTAGAAGATCTGGCATTCAATAGTTGTGTGATCTGAGGCATGTCCCTTCTCTGGGTTTCTGCTTCTCTCATCTACACAGTGGGAAGATGCCGTGTCTCACCTGTCCTACCAAGTTCGTCAAGTTGTTCAGAAGTTCAGATGAAATATTGTATACAAATTTGGCTGGAAAAACCTAAGACGATATGGGTAGAGGAGACTTTCGAGTTCGCCTGGATCCCTGGACTTGTGTGCTGATCTGGAAAGCTAGGACGGAGGAGGCGCAGGACAGCAGCCAGCAGCCAGCACATGTAGAACTGGGTACTTCCTCACACAGGGGACACTTCCCAAGGGAAACTGGGAAGTGCGATAGAATGGTTTCCAATAAACTAATCCTGCCTTTGATTATATTAGTAACAGATCATATTTATCCATTCTAGAGGCAGTAAGATAAATGAAAGTTGGAAAATGTACAAAATCTAAGGTCCACTGAAGGGAACTGGAAGGTGAAATAGGTTGAGGTTCCATCAAAGGTAAAAAATACACACGCTGGCCAAATAGCTGATGCATATATCCCACTGTCCTAACAGCCACAAAAAAGGCAGACAGGGAGCCCCAGAAGATTTTTGTGAGCTCAGATACTAGCTTTTCTGGAAACACATCAAGTCAATGACAGAACCAGTTAGAGACAATAATTTCCCTTTATTTAATCTCCACATTTATGTCCCCTGGATCTTTTTGTGTTTAATTAGGAGAAGGGAGGTGGGGATTAGGTCTTAAAACATACAGGGTGCAGAAAAGCCCACTACCATGACTTGCCTTGGCACAGGTAGGGGCCTGATCCCTCATCAGGATATGGACTGTGAGATACTCAGGGAGGACAAGAGACTGGCAGATGCTGATAGCTCACAAAGAAAACTTGAAATTACGGAGTCTCAACAAATCCCTACGGCTCATTAGACATTTCAAACATAATCTCTGCAAGCTGAAAACTAGGACTTCAAAATCCCTTAAGCAAGGGACTCAGACCCAAGAGACAAGGCAGGTGAGTGAAACAAAAGACCAGAGATACCACACAGTACAAAATAGTAATTATTTATATTTTCAAAAAGAAAAAATTAACATTTGGAAGTTCTCCCCTGGAGGAAGAGGGGCTAGTCAGAAGGAACAGAACTGGCTCCTATGCAGGCGGCAAGTCAGGTACAAACAGCTGAGCAATCTGGGCTGGGATTTTATCACACAGCATCTTTAATTAATAAAATTTCCTTCTCTCTTCTCTTCTTTTGTTCTGTTTTTGTTTTGTGTGTTTTTTTGTTTGTTTTTTAGAAAAAGGGGCGGGGGAGAAGAAATAAAATCAGAGAAAAATGCCCAAAAACATTTTCCACAATATCTAAAAACAGAGAACCATAGTTCTTGTCAAGACAGTATGAATTCTGGATGAGTTATTTTTTTCCAGTTTTCAACACCAATAAAGATTTTTGCAAAAGCCACCACATCAGAACACTCATCTTCCAGATCAAATAACCTTCCCCTTTTGCCTTCACTTGTCATTTTTCATAAAAGGATAAAAGGATGCATTCTGTTCTTGCAAACAGTAAGTGCTAACAACAAGAGAGCTCTTCTGATGCTTGTATGGTGGTGAGTTTTCACAAATATCCAAGTTTTAGCACAGTTGGAAGGACTAAAATTTGTTTCTCTCAATATAAATACTACTGGAATCCACAAACTGATTTTTGAGAAATTCTGCAAAAATCTTTTCTTCTTTCCTTTTCCCTTCTGTTAAAACTCAATGTCCTTTCTTTTTTTTTTCCTTTTTGCTCCAGGCACCTGACGATTTATTCTGCTCAGTCAGATGCAGACAGGTTTCTCCGAAGTACCACCGCTGGGATGTCCTCGGGCCAGCGCCTAAACTGAATCCCCACAGTATCAAACTTGGCCAGGCCAAAGGGAACACAGTGACGCAGCAACAGGGTTTTCATTAGGTTGAACAGCCCCGAGTCCTGGGCCCTTCCCTCCCCCCGTTTCCCCCAAGTTATTTAGTGCTGTTTTAAAAGTCTGGGGCCACAATGCAGTCTCTTCCCCTCACAACAGAGTAAAAGCTCCACAGATTGCGCTGTCTACCTGGTAGTCAGTGGCAGCAACAGTGGCTGCTGCTTCTGGAAATTAAACGGAGTCTTACAACAAGCAGGATCTTAGGATTGCTTCAGGCGTTTGCGTGGGGGTCCCAGAAAAGGGCACTGTGCTGAAGCCAGAGAGCGGTATGCCTCAGCCACCAAGTGAGGATGTGACACCACCATTGACTTCCACCCAGAGGTCTCTAAGACATCCGAAGCATGACTAGGAGAAATGTGGAGAAATGGGTTACCAAAGGGAGTGAGCAAGGGATGAATTCAACAGCCACCTAGATAGCCTAATTTTCCAGTGTTAGGTATAAAGTGTGTCAATGCAACAGACAGAACCCTTAATATGCCTGAGAATTTGCTTGTGAGACAATGCGCAGACTGGTGACTTGCCTGTGGCTGTCGTCATCTGAAAACCAGGACTTTGAGCCACTATATTCTCAAAAACAAAAAGCGGAATGTTCCCCAGGCCCTCAACACTGCCTATGTTCCTTATATTCACCGGTGATGCCCATCATAAAAAGGAGCATGGGCTCCCTCAGCCAGAAGCCCTGAGCTTCTGCCTGGCTTTGCCACTCACCAGCCTTTAACCACAGGGCAGATCAGAGCCCGGGGCCTAGGTGATTATCAAAAAAGAGGAGAGGATAACCATACTTCATTCAATGGTTAATATCTCAAAAGCACCAAGCAAATTGTCCAGCACACAGTAAGCACTCAAAGGAACTCACACTGATGGGTCTCTCCCCTCCTTCTTCTGCCTCACTTGATCACTCCTTAGAAAATAATTCTACAACTAGACCTAGAGGATGTTATTTCCTGTCTTTGGGAATTTTCTACGTTGAATATTGTTCACTCAATCATCTGGAATGTCTCAGACCTGTCTTGCCCCAGAACTGCTGTTGTGAGGGCTTTTCTTCTTCGGGTTTTTCCCAGCTTTTGCTCTCTCCATGGGGCAAGGGATAGAACATGTCCCACTGAGAAGATAGGTTGTAGTTACAATTCATCTTTCATATTATTATTCATATTATTTCATATTATTATTTCAGAAAGTAGTATTGCCAGGTCATTTGTCACTTAAGATGAAGGAACAGACCTAGTGGAATGAACATTTCTTTCTCAAAACAGTGTTATGAAACCAGCTCCTGATGATCCCTTCTCTTTTCCTCATTCTGTAACTGAACGTGAGGTACATTTTACCAACTCATAAACATATCTCTATCCTCCTAGAAATCTACATGTCTTTTATTAAGTCACTGAGTGTGAAGTAAAGATACTACAATTTGGGGCACACAGCTTTTTCAGGCAAGTTATTTTCATCACTTCGATTCACTATGAGGAAGTAAAACACTTTACTCACCAATAGGATTCAACCCATGAAGGTAAAACCATTTTCCATACAGTCAATTGAAGGAGAAGATGAAAGCTCTATACTTACTGCCAAAAGGTTAATGAAGCTACTTGCCTGCTTTACCCACTAATTCAAAGTCTTTCTCATTTCTTCAGCTATCCAACTATTCTGAAAGAAGAACTTTGAAGATGCCAACTCACTAGTTGATGAAATCCACTGCCTGAGTTTTCAACTGATCTGCGCTGTGGAGGTCAGCCAGGATGAGAATTTCTGCAGCATTCTCCACGGACAGGTTACTGCAGAGGGCATCCTCACACATGACCTTTAAACGCTCCAGGGCATACTGTAAAACACAAGCACTGCTGTCGTCAGAGCAGCAACAGCTCTGGGCTGACCACTACTGAAGCTGTTTTCTTTAGCTGTACCATCATATTAACTAGATACCTGAACAGAACTGCACAGACCATGAAAAGCTACTACTGCAATGATAAAACATAACCATATTCTTAAGGTTAGATGTTTAAGCTTGAAACGTAAACAGCTAAAATAACTTGGAAAGCTGCCATTAGAGTTCTAAAGTCTACCTATTAGAAAAATGGCAATTACAGGGTAGATCTGCATCTTGAAGTTTACTCTCCTCCAGTCTGTGATGAAAGTTGTTCTTAAACCTTTACCACTTAATGATTACAGTGAGGCATCAGTCTACTTCAAGTCAACAGGGACATTACTGCAATCCCCTTATTTAGAGCCAGAAGAGGGTGAAGCACAGTCCTTTTGACTTAAGCATTGTCACTAGCCCAGCAGGATATGCCAACTGACCCATCAGGCTGTGAAAAGAAGCCTGTGGTGACTTTTACCAGCACCTCTGCCACTAGTTGTTTCTGAATGAGGGTCAACTAAAGGCCTCCTTTTAAATAGAGAAGGATAAATAGAGTCTTATTTTATTGGGGTTCAGGTTAAGCTTCTCAGGGTAAACGGACAAAGTGGCAGAGAGTCTAATGCAGTTTCAGTTTAAAAACTTGTATTTTCTAAGAAAAGGGCATAACTGTTCTTGAAATGGAAAGCCTGGGTTAATGCTGGGCACATCTGATCTACTTGATTGGTTCTGATACAACTCTACCACTTGTTCTCCAATATGAGATTATGAACTTACTAGGAACTTCAGGGATAGGAAAGAGGAAGGAAATACAAGGAGGCACAAAATAAAATGTCATTAATCAGTTCACAGGAAAACAGCTTGCTTTGAGGCTATGCACAGTCTCCTTATAGGCCCCAGCTTGAAGGCCCCAGAACTCAATGACACAATGCCCCTTCAGGGTGAATCATGGCAATCAAACCAGGACAATTTCATTGTTATCAATTCTGGGTAAGGAGGCAAATCTGCTGGCACTGTGATCTCCTGCAGCAAAAAGAGAGGTTTTATTGGTTTTGGTGCAGCTTTTTTACATTTGAGTAACTGGAAAACAGTTTCCATGGAAAACAGGAATGACATTAGATAAGCAAGAAAGGAAGTTGCCGTTTTTGTTTTAAAAGGCTGGAAAAAAGGTTTAGTAAATGTTCAGTTTTTTATACAGTGCTGCCCAGACAATTCCTCTTATCCTTTCTCAATACATTATTTTAAAAGGACTTTTACTGTGAATAGCTCTGATCCCTACTGCATAATTAGACAAAAGTAGCCATTCTTGTCCCTTGGGGACGAAGTTTTTTCTTAATTATGCTTCTGAAAAACCTGCCTAATGGCAGTACTTACCCAAGAGATGGAAATTGTGTCTCCCAGGCCTAACTGAGGAGTTTTGTTTTGTTTTTGGTCTAATTACACACGTCCCCAGGAGATTGGAAAAGCTTAGAAGAAGCTGTTTCAGCCTCTTGGGTAAATTCTAGATGTTTAGATCATTCCATGAAAGATTTCTTATTCTGTTTTCCTAAAACTCACAAAGAGGTGTAAAGGTAAAAATGTTTTCAAATAGGCTTGGAGCAAAAACTGTCTAGTGGGAAATTCTGAATGGAATTTGAAAATGCACCCTTCAATTACTTCTCATTCATAAATTTAAAGCACTGCTGTGATTCAACAGCTTTATCTTTTAAAACCACAAGTTAACACATTGTGCTGAAATGCTATCCTTGAAATGGCAGTTCAGGCTGATCACCATGCCCTGTGTCCTTACAGTAGGTTACCAGTAGGTTTTCCAGCTAGGGAGCAAGAATGAAAACTCAGGGACACGGCAGAAGTTTAATCTTGGCTCTGCGGATATACAACTCTGAGCCTTAGTATTTCTGTCTAAAAAGTGGGCCTTGCAATACTTATCCTTATGGAATCTGGAAGATGAGAGGATAAACACCTGAAGTGTATAAGCACAAGCGACCACTTCATTAAAAATCAGAGCACAGATCAGGCAAAATCATAATTAACTTTATAAAAGGCAGGTATTGGATTATGTCTTCTACTTTCCCAGAGCTTGCAGTGAATATTTTCTTACTGTCTCCATTAAAAGCAAGTTTCCCTTGGTCAGAATTGAGGTAGACTGGAAGGGTATGGAATTTTCACATTGCTTAATTGTACTCATAAAGTCTTGAAAAGTGACAAGAAGGATACGGTTACTGTTCCAATCTTCTTCATCAAGAGCACTGATTGCATTTACTTACCCCAACCTCTACATACACTCCAAAAAGCCGATCAATAAAGCTAAACCTCCACTATAAACACAGGCACTTTCCTCTGTCCTCAGGCACAAAGGGAGGTAGACTATCCCATGAGCAAACACTGGAAGGCTCTTGTGTCCTTAGACCAGAACCCACTTTTCCCACCAATGGGTATTGCAGCATCACGGCAGGAAGAGGGGGTGCTTTCAGCAGAGAACCTTCTTTCTCACAGAGTCTACTGCTGGCAGGGTCTACACCCTTTTCCCACCCCCACGCCAACTCCACTTGTCCCCCAACACAGGAAAAGCTCCCACAGGGTAAACACCAATTCTTTCACCCTTCCCCACAGGTCATGTGTCCACAGACTGCAGGGCCTAAAAGGGTATTGAGTTCTCTCTCTGATGTACCTACACAATGAAAGTCCATTTCCCAATGTGTGTTTCGGGGACCACTAACGTTTTTTTGTTTTGTTTTGTTTTTGTTTGTTTTGTTTTGTTTTGTTTGAGACGGAGTCTTGCTCTGTCACCCAGGCTGGAGTGCAGTGGCGCAATCTGGGCTCACTGCAAGCTCTGCCTCCTAGGTTCACACCATTCTCCTGCCTCAGCCTCCCGAGTAGCTGGGACTACAGGCGCCCGCCACCATAGTCGGCTAATTGGTTTTTGTTTGTTTGGCTAACTTTTTTGTTTATTTGTCTGTATTTTTTAGTAGAGACAGGGTTTCACTGTGTTAGCCAGGATGGTCTCAATCTCCTGACCTCGTGATCCGCTTGCTTTGGCCTCCCAAAGTGCTGAGATAATAGGCGTGAGCCACCGCGCCTGGCCACTGACCACTAATCTTGCAGGTGATCCTTGAGAAAAAGGATTCCAGGGTTCACTAAATTGGAGAAATGCTGTCTATCATAATTCCTGTTAGAAAATTCACAGTAACATTAATATGCTACAGGTTCTGAGAAATCCTGCAGTAAGACAGCAACTATTTGTCTTGGTTAAACTCAGTATTTTTCATAAGCCTTTCCCACCAACCTAATATCTGTTGATATTTCACCTTATTTTGGGAATCACTGACCAAATTATTTTAGGTAATCATCATATGTCTTTGATTCTAAGATCTGCGTTTTTATTTTCACACTTTAACACTTCTCAAATTGAAATGTGTCTTATGAAGTATAATTTATTCTACTATTAAGCTATTAATTCTCTCATAATTTTGCAGAAATACTTTCTATTTCGATAACTACTTAGGTAAAAGCTGAAAATGCTAACCAGGACACTAGGTAAAAGATTACAGCCATGCCTCAGTATCCTTAGGGGACTGGCTGGGTCCAGCGGCCCCACAAATACAAAAATCTGTGAATGCTCAAGTCCCTTATATAAACTGACAGTATTGGCCAGGCATGGAGACTTACACTCATAATCCCAGCACTTTGGGAGGCTGAGGTGGTCAGACCACTGGAGATCAGGAGTTCAAGACCAGCCTGGCCAACATGGTGAAACTCTGTCCCTACTACATATACAAAAATTAGCTGGGTATGGTGGTGCATGCCTGTAATCTCAGCTACTCGGGAGGCTGAGGCAGGAAAACTGCTTGATCCTGGGAGGCAGAGGTTGCAGTGAGCTGAGATTGTGCCACTGCACTCCAGCCTGGGCAACAGAGTGAGGCTCCATCTCAAAAATTAAATAAATAGACCAGATGCGGTGGCTCACAGCTGTAATCCCAGCACTTTGGGAGGCCGAGGTGGGTGGATCATCCGAGGTCAGGAGTTCGAGACCAGCCTGACCAACATGGCGAAACTCCATCTCTACTTAAAATACAAAAATTAGATGGGTGTGGTGACGGACACCTGTAATCCCAGCTATTCGGGAGGCTGAGGCAGGAGAATCACTTGAACCCGGGAGGCAGAGGTTGCAGTGAGCCGAGATTGTGCCATTGCACTCCAGCCTGGGTGACAAGAGCAAGACTCTCTTCTCAAAAAAAAAAAAAAAAGAAGTAAATAGACAGTATTGGCCTGTATCGTTATGTACATCCTCCTGTATACTTTAAATTAGCCCTATATTATCTATACTAACTAATACAATATAAATGCTATGTAAATAGTTGTTATACTATTTTGGTTTTTTATTTGTATTATTTTTTATTTATTTTTTTGAAACAAGGTCTCGTTCTGTCACCCAGGTTGGAGTGCAATGATGCAATCATGGCTCATTGTGGCCTCAACCTCCTGGGCTCAAGTGATTGTCCCACCTCAGCTTCTAAAGTAGCTGGGACTATGGGCGTGCACCACCACACCTGGCTAAATTTTTTAATTTTTATTTTTGTAGGGATGGAATCTATGTTGCCCAGGCTGGTCTTGAACTCCTGGGCTCAAGCAACCCTTCCTCCTTGGCCTCCCCAAGTTCTGGGATTATAGGCTGAAGGCACCACGCACCCAGCACCACTGTGCCCAGCCTGTTTTTTCTTGTTTCTTTTTTTTCTTTTCTTTTTTTTTTGGAGACAGTCTTGTTCTGTTGCCCAGGCTGGAGTGTGGCACGATCTCAGCTCATTGCAACCTCTGCCTCCTGGGTTCAAGCAATTCTCTTGCCTCAGCCTCCCGAGTAGCTGGGACTACAAGCATGCACCACCACGCCTGGCAAATTTTTGTATTTTTTAGTAGTCATGGGGTTTCGCCACATTGCCCAGGCTGGTCTCGAACTCCTGAGCTTAGGTGATCCACCCGCCTCAGCCTCCCATAAGTGCTAGGATTACACAGTGAGCCACTGGTGCCTGGCCTCTTGTTTCTTTTTTCTCAAATATTTGTGATCTGAGGTTGGTTGGGTCCACATGGATCCAAAGGGCTGTTTTACTGATAAAGTTTAAATACGTTAATAAACTCAAAAACATTTTTGTAAATTATAAAGCACAATCCAAACGTATTTTGAATCTTTACTATCACTGTGGTTAAATTTGAGATGGAAAAAAGAGGAGAGGTAAATGTCAAACTTATCCTTCTTTCCCATAGTTAGGTGACCATATAGTTTACTATTCAAAACAGGACATTTTTGAGAATAAAAAGTGTGCTATTAATAATTGTGTTGGAATAATATGTGTAAACCAGGACTGTCTTGGCCAAACCAAATATGCTCATTTTACCCACAATGCAATATAGAAGCCTGTTCACGAAACTCAAGAAGTCACAATAACTCCTAGTCCTGATTATTTTTCTATTCTTATCTTACCTTGTCAGCAGCTGCCAACAAATCATCAGCCATTTTGTCGAGGTTTGGAGCCTTCCCCGTGTATATGAAGCACATCATTTCCTTAAAAACTTCAGGCTCCACATCATTGATTTCAACTCGATTCTATGCCAGAAAAACTGAATATGAGAAACATTCCAACAGAACAAAATCCCTAAACTAAACTATTTTCATGATTTTAAGCTCTCGTGAGGAGAGAACCTTGTATCATTTAAAATCTAACATTAATGGGCCGGACACGGTGGCTCACACCTGTAATCCCAGCACTCTGGGAGGTCGAGGCGGGTGGATCACGAGGTCAGGAGATCGATACCATCCTGGCTAACATGGTGAAATCCTGTCTCTACTAAAAATACAAAAAAAATTAGCCAGGCGTGGTGGCGGGCACCTGTAGTCCCAGCTACTCGGGAGGCTGATGCAGGAGAATGGCGTGAACCCGGGAGGTGGAGCTTGCAGTGAGCCGAGATCACACCACTGCGCTCCAACCTGGGTGACAAAGCAAGACTCCGTCTCAAAAAAAAAAAAAACCCAACATTAAGGGAAAATTTCTTTGCCCAGCTTGATTATAACAGTCTTTTCGCCTATCACACGTTCCATCTTTGTTTTCTCAAACATAACAGCAAAACAACTCTTTGATTTTTTTTCATCTTTCTTTTCCTCAATTTTCTGAGTAAAAACATGTCTAAATACCCTCACCCAAAACTGTGTGGATGATCAGCCTCATTTAATAAGTCAATCTGCTTTACCCGTAATACTTCTACACCACTTCTCTCTGCTTTCAGAAGGAGTTTAGGGACTCATACTCCATTTTAGTAACACAGTAAGAAAAAAATAATTAGGAAAATAAATCTGCAGCTAAAGTGGGAAATCATCTGACTCTAGACACCTGGCTAAACAGACATGTCTTCATCTTGTTACATACCTTTTTGCTCTCTTCCATTTCATGTTCAAACATGGCACTAAAAACCGGAGAACGAGCTACAAAGTGAAAGAAAAACAAACAGATAAGGCTATCACAGTGAAATCTCTTGGTTCTTTCCAGTCATGAGGGAGAGATCATTTTCTTTCCTATCCTACTGCTATAGGAAAGGTCTCTGCCTCAGCTTACATCAGAATTACAAAATTCCTCTCTTTATATATAACAATAAGTAACTAATACATAAAAGAAAATAAGAAACCACTACTTCCAAAATAACTTATCGTCTCTACTCCAACCATTCACATTTCAAGGAAATTACTTATATACGTTGGATGATAATGCTATGTTCTCTGTATAGATTTGGGGTTCAAATAGAAGGTCCCTTATGATCAAGCAGGGTGTTCTAATACCTATGTTTTTGTTGGAACTGACACCACACTTTCTGCACCTCCAAGGACCACACAGAAAGAAGGTCAAGAACTGGGCTCAATGGCATCCACTAACCAGATGAAGTGTATGTTCACCTATGGCAAGCTGTCTGTCTTTCTAAGCTATGCATTCTTAACAGAGATGATATTGCCGCAAAGAGGTAGGGGAAAAAAAAACTTTAGATTTTATAATGATTTGTGTCCCTTTAAAGCACAACCCTACCTGATAAAATCTCCTTCCTATTTTATTTCTCTCATCAGGGAGAATTTAAATTTAGTTTTTCTCCTTAGATGCAGGGATAACGAAGGTTGAGAAACAGTGTTCCAACTCATGCTCATTCTAGTCCAATGAACACCATGAAAAATAATAATCTCAACCATGAAAAGTAATAAAATGGCTAAGAACTCAAATTTGTTCATGTTGTCAAATAAATCAGGGGTTTTGGTGAAAGGTGTGATCTAACGATTACCTAAGAGTGAAGGAATGGACAAAATATATAGTAGAAGGGATTTGAGCTAACAGGGAACTGGAATTTTTGGCCTATAGTTTATGTCAGAAAGGACTAATTTTAGTTCTGCCATTTTCTTTTCTTTTTTTTTTTTTTTTTCTGAGACAAAATCTTGCTCTGTGGCCCAGGTTAGAGTGGAGTGTAATGGCGTGATCTCAGCTCACTGCAATGTCTGCCTCCTGAGTTCAAGCAATTCTCCTACCTCAGCCTCCCAAGTAGCTGGGATTACAGGTGCCCACCACCACGCCTGGCTAATTTTTGTATTTTTAGTGGAGACGGGGTTTCACCATGTTGGCCAGGCTGGTCTCGAACTCCTGACCTCAAGTGATCTGCCCACCTCTGCCATCAAAAGTGCTGGGATTACAGGCATGAGCCACTGCACCCGGCCTAGCTCTGCCATTTTTCTAACCACATATTCTTGGGCAAATCATTTAACCCTCTGAACTTCAGTATTTTAATGTATACCAAAAGGATATTAATTCTCGGCCGGGCGCGGTGGCTCAAGCCTGTAATCCCAGCACTTTGGGAGGCCGAGACGGGCGAATCACGAGGTCAGGAGATCGAGACCATCCTGGTTAATACGGTGAAACCCCGTCTCTACTGAAAAGTACAAAAAACTAGCCGGGCGAGGTGGCGGGCGCCTGTAGTCCCAGCTACTTGGGAGGCTGAGGCAGGAGAATGGCGTGAACCCGGGAGGCGGAGCTTGCGGTGAGCTGAGCTCTGGCCACTGCACTCCGGCCTGGGCGACAGAGCGAGACTCCGTCTCAAAAAATAAAAAAATAAAAAAAAAAAAAGGATATTAATTCTCATTTTTCTTATTTCAGAAGGGTTATAGACTATATAGAGAACTAAATAAATATATTTCAGAAATTAAAGACTAAAGGCCTGGGGCTTTTCATAAAGAAGGAAGGGTCCAAAGCAACCAGGTATTGAGGGTCCTCGGTAAACAGACAGCAGCTGATGCAACAGGAATAAATGAAATCACTCAGGGAGAAAAAGTGGAATGAAAACGGAACTGAAGCAGATCCTCAGGGCTCACCAATGTATAAAGGGATGGGTGAGGAAGAAGTAAGGAGACCACTCATCAGAAGCAACCAGAGAACCAGGAGAGAGGAGTCCTAGTATATGAACTAAAGTCCTTCAAATTTAGCAACTAGTAGATCATGTAATTTTGAAAAACTGCTTTCATAGCATGGAGGTGAACTGAGGATAAGTGGGAGGAAAGAAGTAGAAAGTGAATATGCTAACTCAAGAAACTCAGTTCTGGGGAAAAGAGAGAGAGAGACAGAATACTAGAGGGAGAAGCTTGGAGCCTGTTTACAGGCTGAAGGTGAAGAGAAAATAACAGAGAGATACTGAAGATACTAGATAGATAGCAAGGGTATAACCGGTAGAGTAAGGTTTCTGAGAAGGCAAGATGGGATATGAAACAGAGCAGAGGTAGAAAAAAAGTCTGCTTTGTCCACGAGGAAGAACACCTCCACTGAGAATGCAGGTGAGGTGAGAAGCAAGAGATGAGGGAGTTCCTACATAAGGGCTTCCTTTTCTCTTGGAGGAAGTAGGCAAGGTAATCTTTTAGGAGTTTGGAAGGAGTTAAAGAGTGGTTAAGGTTTGAGACAGCTACAGTTAAGAAAGGGATTTGCCTAAACATCTGTAGAAAAACTATTGGCGGTGTTGAGGGCCTAGCTAAGTGTGGAGACGCTAACCAAAGAGTTACAAACTTCCTTGAGTTTTGTTTTTCTTCCCCCCTGAGATGGAGTCTTGCTCTGTTGCCCAGGCTGGAGTGCAGTGGCATGATCTCCGCTCACTGCAACCTCCGCCTCCCAGGTTCAAGCGATTCTCCTATCTCAGCCACTGGAGTAGCTAGGATTACAGGTGCGTGCCACCATGCCCAGCTAAGTTTTGTATTTTTAGTAGAGATGGGGTTTCACTATGTTGACCAGGCTGGTCTCAAACTCCTGACCTCAGGTGATCCAGCCGCCTCCGCCTCCCAAAGTGCTGGGATTACAGGTATGAGCCACTGTGCCCGTGACTCCCTTGAGTATTACATAGTAACAGCCAGTTGTGAGAGGGTACAGGAAAATGTTTAGACTGAGGCAGTGTGAGGTTTTACCAGGTGTGTACTTTAGAATGACAGAGCTGAGGGTCTTAGTAAGAAGTGTGTTACTTGAAGGTTCACGCAATTTCCTGTTGGGTCTTATGGTCTTAAGAGAAGTATGCGATGGTTTTTACCCTTCCCTGGGTGGTGAAGTCGGTCCTTCCTCATCAGTTCCTCCTTGGTGTCAATCTCCCTGGTCTTGAAAACCATGGGTCTATTAGAGCAAGAACTGATCCTCCATGTCAGGGGCAAGAGTTTAATTCTTCTAGCATGTTTAAATTGAAGAGAGGGCTAACCCCTTCAGGGCTGAGGACTAGCTAGATGGCATTTAGTCCTGAGTATAGAATCCTCTCCATTATATCCTATGCCCCTATCTAGGGGTTGCTACCTGCTCTTAACTGGTGCTCTAACATCTACTTTCTAGGGGCAAAGGCATTCAATACCTTTGTACATCATCATCCATTCCTTGAAAATGATGGCCTAGGTCCACTACAGAGAGGAAAAACAGAAATCTCATTTTAGAGAGCAGCTTTTTTGGTTCTGAGCATTAATGTTACCAGAATACAAAGGTATATTTAGCTGTAGTTTGTTTTGTAGTTGAGTTCAAAAAGTTGAAGTTGTTCAAAAGGTGATTATGCAATCACTTGTTTTTCCTTAATTCACCAAAACTATAAAATTCCTCATGAATAAATACCAACCTGCTAAGATAGCTTTGTGAGCCTGGAATTCCTGGCCAGCAACACACAAGCAGCAGTCTGTGAACCGGGAATTCTCCCACAGTCCTCCTAACTCATCTGCCAACCGGCACTCAGGAACCTTTACCATGTTCATGGTATTCTGGCCAGAAATGTTGACAGAATCTTGCACAACACTCACCTGTGAAAGATAAGGAAACACAAGCCAAGCTTTTGTTACCAGGAATTTTTTTGCCAGCAGATAGAGAGATGACTTTTACCTCATTGCTGTAGTACATTCAGATACTAATATTAATCATATTATCTTGAAACCACCTCCACAAATCAAGGTTTTATCCCAGGATCAAGTAACTCCTTTTCTGTCACAATCAGACTTATTCTATACCATCTCAGGACAATGGGGAGAGAGCCCCACAAACCTCCTTTTCCTCCAGTTTCTAATAAGCTTCACCTCCCTCAGACTACAAACCTGGGCAAAGGTGCCAGAGAGACAAAACTGACAGAAACAAACGTTAAACCTCAAGTATTTACCTTATTCTGCCTTAAGTTCAATACAAAGAACTCCTACAAATATTACCATTTAAATTAAACTCTAGAGACAAGAATCTAATCCCCCCCCCTTTTTTTTTTCCGAGACAGAGTCTCACTATGTCTCCCAGGATGGAGTCCAGTAGCATGATCATGGCTCACTGCAGCATTGACCTCCCAGGCTCAAGCAATCCTTCTACTCCAGCCTCTGGAGTAGCTGGGACTACAGGCACATGCCACTACACCTGACTAATTTTTTATTTGTTTACAGAGACAAGGTCTCACTATGTTGTCCAGGCTGATCTTGAACTCCCGGGCTCAAAGCGATCCTCCATCCTTGGCCTCCCAAAGTGCTAAGACTATAGGCGTGAGCCACTGCACCTCGCCAAATATAATAACTGAAGCCTATAAGAAGTTATTTTAATTAGGTCGAGAACATGCACATAAAATGCATCTTCTACAAGGCCTAGTAAATAACTGGCACTTCTTCAAAAATATTAGTTTAATGAACATGACATTACTGACCCACTGTCAGTAAGGACCAGACTTGGAAGATCTTTCTAGTAGTGAAAACTGGGTGAGTATCCCACACTTTTATACCTTTAGTCAGTTGTGATAATGACATACAAGATGCCTGGCTGTAGCTACACATGCACTTATAGCTTTGGAAGATAATGATGACAATAGGTTTATAAAGGAATCCCAACTTCCCACTATGGCTTCAGCAGAAGCATGTTTTAACTAGTTCAGCCTAGATAAAAAACCAAGTTAACTTCTAGGTGAGTCAGTGAAACTCAGAAAAATCTGTGAGGGTACCAAATACAAGGATTTATAAATCATACAACATCATAAAATAAATGTCAGTTGCCAAACTGTAGATAGGATGCCGCAGATCAGTCGTCTGCCTAACAATCATTGTTATGCTTCATCTCCTATATCACATTGTTAGAAAAGTTAAATTCAAAGCAGAACTCACAAACCTTGAGAATTAGCTCCCCACTCTTGCTATTCCTAACACTAAGATGAGAAAGACAGCTTAGGAACATCCTTAATGACCCAGATTTCTTTTAACCTTCAAGATGCAAGTCATCCCTTAAACGCAGTCATAAACCCAGAGGCAAAGTTAATGACCTGTAGTTCCTTCTGTGCAGAATGAGATATTTACTATCGGGTCAAGAAATTTATTCATTTGTTTAAAACTAGCCGTTATGGTCTTGGGCAGTGAAGCAGCCAAGTTAATCACTTATGAATATACTTGGCATTAGTATCACATTTATCAGAGCCAGATTATAACATTATTTTAATAGCCTAGGACCCAGTACGAACCATCCCACAGAGATTCTCTCTTGTCCTTTGTAAGATCTCTAATTTGCTTCTGCCACTTTCTCATATTAATACCCTCACTTCTTTGATATAACATTAACACCAAAAGTAGAAGTTGCCTGTTCTCAGTTATAGCTCCAAAATACTAATTAAAAAAAAAAAAAAAAAAAAAAGGAAAAGACCAATTAAATCTGACTTTCTCACAGGGAAAGGCAGGAATCTCCTGGGATGGCCAATGAAGGGAATGGAGAATGCTTTTGGCACTGGGTTCCTGGTTTGAATTAAACCAGGTTGACAGGAGCCCAAAGTCATTAACACTTGATGGCAATTTAGTAGACTGGGTGAAATGAATTGGCAAGAAGAGCTAAACTGAATTTCACATAATCAAACCATGGTTACCAGTGGGCCTTCTGCTGGTTAGATGCACATGTGGTAATGAGTGAGGCCCAAAGGCTGTGACATCTCTCACTGGGGCAATTCTTCTCTCTGGACTCAGACAGGAACACAGCAGAAAAGAGAATGTACCCTTATTGTCTGAGCCAGGCTTGTTCTGTGGATATATAGATGCCTGGAGTCTCCAGAGCTCTGAATGTCTGGCACCTCTCACCAACATTAAATACGCTTAATTAAAAATAAATTCTAAATGGCATTCACAAATGAGTCTTCAGAGCCCAAACTTTTAACTTAGAAAGGGATTGTTTTCCCCTGCAAATGATGATGCTAAAATGAGACCATTTTGAGAAAAACTAAAGATTTTTTTTTTTAATGCCTATAAAGTTGACTGTGGAGACTCATTCAGAACTGCAGCTGTGAAGATGACGTGACTGTGACATTTATGTCATCTTATAAATGACTGCATGAAAATGTCTCAGGAAGGCTGTATAATCTCCTTAACTTCAACTTGTAAAAGGGTCTCACTTTTAAAGTCAATCCTTTTCTTAAAAAAACAAATTTCATAAAAAACTAAAGATTGTGCCAATTCTTGTACATTTCATCTATACATAAAGTAAAACCCAGGGAAATTAAACTTCTATATAATTAAAACAATCTAGGAAAAACAGACACTGCCTACAAATTATTTACAGCAGGAACAATATTTCTACTAGCAAAAGATTAGCAACAACCTAAATGTCCATCAACAAAAGAATGAATAAATTATACATTCACACAAGACTATTATATACAGCACTAAATATGGATGAAGTATAGTTATATAAATTTTAGAAACATAATGTGAAAAAAGCAAGTCTTAGATGACTACAAGCCGGGCGCGGTGGCTCACGCCTGTAATCCCAGCACTTTGGGAGGCCGAGGCGGGTGGATCACAAGGTCAGGAGATCGAGACCACGGTGAAACCCCGTCTCTACTAAAAATACAAAAAACTAGCCAGGCGCGGTGGCGGGCGCCTGTAGTCCCAGCTACTCAGGAGGCTGAGGCAGGAGAATGGCGGGAACCCGGGAGGCGGAGCTTGCAGTGAGCCGAGATCGCGCCACTGCACTCCAGCCAGGGGGACAGAGGGAGACTCCGTCTCAAAAAAAAAAAAAAAAAAAAAAAAAAAAAAGATGACTACATACAGCCTGACACCATTTTTATAAAGCTCCAAAACAAGTAACCTAAACAATGTATTATTCAGACATACAAATAATAAACAAGTACATGATAACATAAAATTCAAAATAGTTATCATCCTCTGAGTGGGGAAACAAATCTTAGGGATTAGGGAGAAGCATTACAGGTTAGTTTCAAGTTATTGGTCATATTTTTAGGTTGAGTGGTAGGTTTAGTATATTCTCATGCTTTATAACCTACAATGATATTACCTATTGAATCACCATTTGTGTAGTCAAGAACAACCAAATAATGGTATTTTCATCCAGTACAAATAATATATTCAAATAATCCAATAATTAAAGGATAAAAAGGTAAAAATGAATAGATTCACTTATTTAAAATTTGGCAACAACACCTATTCCCAGGCTATGGGGTGTGGGGGTGTGTGTGTGTGTGTAAAACAATTAGTTTTAAAATTTACAGACAGGGTCTCCCTCTGTTGCCCAGGCTGGAGTGCGGTGGTACTGGTGGGATCACAGCTCACTGTAGCCTCCAACTCCTGGGCTTAAGCAATCCTCCTGCTTCACCCTCCCAAGGAGCTAGGACTACAGGCATGTGCCATCATACCTGGCTAATTTTTAAATTTTTTGTAGAGACAGGGTCTCACTATGTTGCCCACGCTGGTCTCAAACTTCTGGGATAGAATGATCCTCCTACCTCGGCCTCCCAAAGTGCTGGGATACAGGTTATAGTGAGCTATGATTAAGCAACTTCACTGCAGCCTGGGCAAGATCAAGATCCCATCTCTTAAAAAATTAAAATAAAGTTAATTAGTGTCTGGATATTTCACATTTATATGTTATTTCATATTTCATCTTTAGTTGCAACATCACAAAGAAGTACTGGGATTATCTACCTGTCAAAGGCATATATGGTAAAGCTGGAATACAATGCATCTTTACTGCTAATGGTTATTTGTTTTCAATATAAATAATTGGAGAAAAGGGTCAACAGAAGCTGAAATATTTCATGAAGATTTTCTGTGGACCAAATTATTAAAAAGAAAATTTTAAATGGAATTTAAACATGCTTTCATGTCTCTATTTGTTTATTTTACAGACAGGGACTAATTATGTTGCCCAGGTAGGAGTGCAATGGCTATTCACAAGCACGATCATAGCACACCACAACCTCGAACTCCTGGGTTCAAGTGATCCTCTTGCATCAGCCTCAGGAGTAGCTGGGAACCACAGGCGTGCGCTACCACTCCTGGCTCTCACGTCTCTCTCTTTTATTACCAAAGTAAATGCTCTGTCAAGAAAACTTGGGACCTGAGTTTGTGCTTCCTTGGGTGAATGGCATTCAGCTCCACTTAGTGTAGTGCAGAGGACTAGAGATAGAAAATAGGGAGCTGACATGACCCTCACACTAGTTTGCTGCACAATGTTAGGAAAAATTACCTGTCTCCTTAGGCACTGCTTCTCTCCCCTTGTAACATGAAATGAAGAAAACAGAACTAAACCTAGCTCAAAGGACTGTAATAAGGGACAATTCAGGAAATGCTTTGGAAATGCTTTCAAATAAGTTAACTAAGCAATATCAACTTGGAAGAACTGCCACATTTCCTAATAGGTAAAACATCACTAAGAACTGAAAGTGATCTCAGTGTCTACAGTCATATCACCCTGAACATGCCTGATCTTGTCTGAAAGTGAACTCAGTGTAGGGCACATTATAAATAAGACCACCCATTCATCATTTTCAGAGTTCACAATCTAATTTCATTTAAACATTCAACAACAGGAATACCACTGAAATAAAGGCCAAACATAAATGGGTGCTTCTCGGTCTTCCACCATAGGAGTCCCTCTTGTGGCCTCTGGGAGCACCAGAATCCCTATGAAACAACTGTACTTATTATATCAGGATGAGAATCAGAGTGCCTGAGCCAAAGGCTGAGTGAGGAATGGGGCACTGGGGTACTAGAACCTAGATTTTTATATGGACATCAATTTCATAAATGCCTCTAAATAATATGACAATACTAATTAAACCAGTAACAAATAAAATGTACATATGAATTAAAATAAATGTGTTTATAAATATTCCACTGATAGAAGGGAAATAACAGGTCAATGGATAAAATGTGCACCAAAAATGATCTAGCTATGAAAAGTGCTAAGAACTTAGATGAGCTGCAGACATCTTTAAAACCCACACATCCAATACACACCCCCACGCAACTGTCTTGCAACGCTGAATGCTACTAAGTCCACAGAGAGCCTTGGAACAGAAACAAGTCTCACTAGGCATAAGCCCAAGTATGAGAAGCAACACTCAGCACCTGTGGCCAACAGAGAAGTGTGAGAGGAACAGATGGCACACCTGGTTCGATGGTAAAAAACCGATGGCATCAGCAGAACCCAGCAGACGCTTCCCTGTTCAACATCTCCTCGTTTCTAAAGTGTCATCTCACTTCCCATCTAAGTCAAGGCACATCTAAACTTAACCACAGGATTTCTCCTAAGAGAATTTCATATGGGGAAGTGAAGGGAGAGAGAGACCGAACTGGAACTTGGCCTCGGATTCAACCACAGGATAAGAGACTGCCAAGTGAGGGAAGGCCAACTGGTTTCCAAATCAAGACTGTGAAGACAGGGGTTGGAGCAGCTGGAATGGATTGGGAAGAGAGTGGGAAGCATATGAGAAAAGGCTGGACCCACTGTGGACTCAAAAAAGCTGCAGTAAAGGTTATGGTATTGCCTAATATTGCCAGATGCAGTATTTAGGGGAGATTTTCTTCAGAGAACAGTTTCAAGACTGGCTTTCATTTCCAATAGAAACTAGAATTTTCTACTATTTTTAAGTTTTTCTGAAATGCAAGTCTCTAAGATAGGTGAAGATTCAAACTGTGATCTGTTTACATAACATCTAACCTCATGTAAAACCAACTAAATTCTCATTTCTTCATTCAGGCAACTGAGTATAATCTGTGACCAGTTAAGATCTACACAGAATTCACACTCCAAGTTTATCAGACATAAAAGAACTGCCACATTTTATGTATTTATTATAGATGCTATCACTCTAGCATTTCCTTCTTTTACTTAGTAATTAAAAAGGAGAAGGGATACCAATTTATGCAAACTATATTTTACATATTTAGTGTGGTATTGTAAGAAACTGCCTCCAAAGTTTTCGAATCATTTGCAACTACTCTGTTGCAATACAGAAAGCTGGCTGGGCATGGTGGCTCACGCCTGTAATCCCAGCACTTTGGGAGGCTGAGGGAGGTGGATCGCTTGAGGTTAGGAGTTCGAGACCAGCCTGGCCAACATGGTGGAACCCCATCTCTACTAAAAATACAAGAATTAGCCAGGCCTGGTGGCACACGCCTGTAATCCCAGCTACTCGGGAGGCTAAGGCAGGAGAATCACTGGAATCTGGGAGGCAGTGGCTGCAGTGAGCCAAGGTCATGCCACTGCACTCTAGCCTGGGTGACAGAGCAAGACTCCGTCTCAAAAAAAAAAAAAAAAAAAAGAAAGAAAAAAAGAAATACAGAAGCCTGCTACTGACAGCTAGGCTTTTTCTGCAAAAGGGCAAGATTCCTAAGGGACTCCCTTCCCTGCTACTCAGGTGGTGATATGCCTTTGAAACTGTCATTAACTCACAGTGTGAGCCTATTATTTGATAGAGCAAGCTGGCAATTGGGGAACAACCGCACCATCCCCCATGATGATACACTGTTTATTATTATCGAGCGGTGCTGCTCAGGAAGTGGTTCCTCAACCACACTATGTGCAGCGAACACTAATGCCCCAGTTGACTGTAGATTTTATTCATTTATTACACCGTGAGCTTGTATTTCTAAATGTATTCATAACAGCATGAAATGACTAATCGGTATATACTCATTAAAGAAACCACTTTCCAACTCATTCTTGGTTTGGGAATTTTACTTCAAGGCTTCTCCTGTAAACCTGGGAAAAGCTCTTAGGTCATTGGTGAAAGGACTTTCCTAACTGACTACAGCTAGCTCTCTGAGCTGAGTTAGAGAGTTTTACATAGCCTTCACCCTAGAAAAAAATGGTTCTCACCTTCCTATTTCACAATTACTCCAGCAAGACAAACCATAGGCCTCAACTCTTGATAAGAATCTAGTTCAAAGAGCAGAAAAGGAAAGTAATGTGCAAACACACATGGCCCTCACACTTAAGAAGCCAGAAAGTATAAAGAACAGATACACATATTTAGCTTGATGTGACAGTTCTTTCAAATGCTATCTGAAAAAAATCCCACAGTGAAAACTCCTGACCCAAGCAACTTAAAACTGACACATACCAAGGTAGCACACAATCTTTGTTTTTCAGAACAGTAACAAGTGGAAAGCTGAGATGCCCAACAACCTTGAAATCATCAGGTAGCTCAATAAGTCACATAAATAACATTTGTGCAGCACTACTCCACTTGGGGTTTTTTCTTACTCTACATCCCTGATACAATTAAGTCTACCAATACTCATCAGGTCTGGGAACTGCTAGTCTCAGCAGAATACAAGGACTTACCTCGCAGAAGAGGGTAAGCTTGTCATCAGGGAGAAGCCCGTTGGCCTCATCCAAAAGAAAATCTCTACGGATGAATTTCTTGAATCCCCAGTCTTTGCCTTGCACAAACCTATATGCCCGTTGACTCTCTGGGGTGAAAAAAAAAAAGTCATATTTAAGGTTACGCAAACACCAGATCAAAGCCACAACTTGTCAGTGTATGAAACTTCTGGATGTGAAACTTAAGAGTTGAACAAAGAGGAGAACATTCACCCATAGCTTTGGTTTCTTCTCCCTTGGCATTCAGGATGGAGAATTTGAATTTTGCCCGAACTTCACTCTTTGGACAGCTGACCAGTAACAGGTAAAGTGACAGGTAATCTTTGCTTTCTTCATCTAGCCCTTTGGGGTTTACTCGCAAACACCTGTCCAAAACAGAAAAAAAAAAAATGTCAAAAGCATCCATTTTGATAGAACTGGAACATCAGACTCAAGAGAGGGAGATGTTTAAAAAACAAATCCAGGCCTCAAAGAAGAATATAATTCAGTAGAATAACCAGCTGGGAACAACTTTTTTTTCTTTTTTTTTTGAGACAGGGTCTTACTCTGTCATTCAGGCTAGAGCGCAGTGGTATGATCATGGCTTACTGCAACCTCGATCTCCCTGGTCTCAGGTGATCCTCCCATCCCAGCCTCCTGAGTAGCTGGGACTACAGATGTGCACCACCATGGCCAGCAAATTTTTGTAGAGATGGGGTTTCACCATATTGCCCAGGCTGGTCTTGAATGCCTGAGCTCAAGCAATCCGTCTGCCTCAGCCTCCCAGAGTGCTGGGATTACAGGAATAAGCAACCACACCCGGCTGGGAACCACTTTTCTAGAGCAAAATGGGTCACCTTTTAAAAAGTAAACAACAGGCTGGGTGCGATGGCTCACCCCTGTAATCTTAGCACTTTGGGAGGCCAAAGCAGGCGCATCACTTGAGGTCAGGAGTTCGAGGCCAGCCTGGCCAACATGGTGAAACCCTGTCTCCACTAAAAATAAAAAATAAAGGAAAAAACTAGCTGGGCGTGGTGGCAGGCACCTGTAATCCCAGCTACTCGGGAGGCTGAGGCAGGAGAATCGCCTGAACCTGGGAGGCAGAGGTTGCAGTGAGCTGAGATCGTGCCATTGCACTCCAGCCTGGGTAATAGGAGTGAAACTCCGTCTCAAAAAAGAAAAAAAGAAAAATAAAAAAAAAAGAAATGTGTGGGCCAGGCACGGTGGCTCATGCCTGTAATCCCAGCACTTTGGGAGTCCAAGGCGGGCAGATCACTTAAGTTTGAGAACAGCCTGACCAATATGGTCTGAAACCCGGTCTCTACTGAAAATACCAGATGTGCTGGCAGGCACCTGTAATCCCTGCTTCTCCGGAGGCTGAGGCAGGAGAATCGCTTTAACCCAGAAGGCAGAGGTTGCAGTGAGCCGAGATTGCACCACTGCACTTCAGCCTGGGCGATAAGAGTGAGACTGTCTCAAAAAAGAAAAAAAAAAGTGTGAATAATCTTTTATAGATAATAATAATATACATAATCTTTTAAAGATATTTTCCCAATCTGGCAATAATATTCTAAGACTAAAATAAAAGATGCAATATGAAGGAAGCACAGACAAAAGTAAATTCTCATTACATAGCACAGAATTCCAGGCCAGACTTCTAAATAGTGTTAGAGATGCCAATCTGTTACGGAGAGATCAAAACAAAATTCAGACAGAATAGGTTCAACTAAGTTGTAAATGTCATTAGTCAAATGCATGGGTTTCATACACTGCTTCTACCACATGCAATACATAGGTCACATGTATCCTTAGGCCTTGTCTGTATTATTGAACCTCTCTCAAACAGGTGGCCCAATCCAGTGTCTCTCTAGGGAGTGCATATGCCACATACATTACTATACACCTTGCTAATGATGAGGATTTAAATACGATGTCTAAGAATAAACATCTCTCTCAACACTTAGTAGTAAAATGCACAATATATAGCAAACAAATACTAAATTAATGAAAAATAACTTTTGGTGGGTTATCAGAGGTCAAAACTGGCGGTTCAGAGACATGTGTTTGGTCTTTGCAGTGGGTATATGGTTGTATCCTCAACTGCCTGCTCCTCAGGCAAGATGACACATAGTCTGTATAAGACTGATCCCCACTCCTCGATCATATTTTCCCTGCTCCAGGGATTAGTTCAGGGAATGCAGACATAAAACAATTGGTGCATGTACGACATATTCCTGGCCACACAGTTCAGCGAAAGCTCAAAGACTTTCGCTGGCATGTAGTAGATTATACCCACTGCTACTGCCAGTCACCCTTCAAGCACAAGAGAAGCTAGACCTGAGATGTCCAAGAGCGTGGAGAGCAGGGCCAGGACAGAGATGGTGTTCTTACTCTAACCACTGGCTTGCCGGATCAAGCTACCTTCAAACCCATCCTATACCCTGTCAATACAGTTACATAAGCAAATAAATCCCCTTTCCTGTTTAAAAGCAGGCAACTTAAAAGTAAAGAGATTTTTATGTTAAAATCTAGATTTCTTGCTTTTCCTGAAAAATCAGAAAATCTGGCAAGGGTCAGTCCTTACTCATGCATAGCTATAGTTAGCTGGAGCTGAGTAGCCAGCATCTCTTTTAGAACACTCACTAGTTTGCCAAGCAGTCACCAGTCATTCCATTTATGGGTATCATTTATAACACTGGCCTTCTTTATTTATTTGCATTACCCTATAGCTTGAGTTTGCTGATTTCTGATACACTCATTGAATTAATTCAACAAATATTTAGTGAGTACCTATTATGTGCTAGGCACTGGGAAATACAGTAAGAACAAAACAAAAGTCCCGGCCCTCATGGAAATTACATTCTTTTCAGTGTCCCATAAAAACAAACAAAAGAGACAACTTCAGAAAAATTTTTATAGCTAGACGTATTCTTCCTCACCATTTCAGTTTATCATTGGCTCCTGATGAAAAGGTAGAACTTTTAATGACTTCACCCATTTCCTCCCGGCAAAAGCTAAAGTTATTGATGGTCCACATGTAGGAGAATTTTACTACCTTGATCTGTTGACAGAAAAACAGGAAGGAATTAAACAGGAAGTGGACAACCTGAAGAAAAAGGCTGAAGAGCAGATTATCATTTCCCCTCCCTCCCTCTGCATGATCCTGATAGGAAGATAGCAGTTTTCAGGTTTTTCTCACCTTAGGTTCCTCATCCACATTTTAAGAAATCTCATACTGACCAATAGCTTTTATAACTTTTTTCAGCTGCTGAGAACACTGGATGGAAAGTGAGAGAAACATAGACAGGGAAAAAAAAAAAAACCAAAAACCCACCACCACCATGGACAGGGCTGGGAAAGCATATGATAAAACTGTACTTAAAATGGGTCTCTGTTACTAAAATGGTGATGTCACTGCCTGGGGTTGCACATCTCAAACTTGTTTCCCCAACAGAGGAAACTTAGAACACACTTTCATCAAGGGCAATGTAACCAGATCTAGTTTCAAAGATTCCCCCTTTCAACCTCCACTGAAAAACACTAGCCTAGGGAATTTAGATTCCACATGGAAAACTAAGGCACCTGAGGCTAACAAGTACTTTATCTATCAGCTCTTTGGCAGTTATGTTCCAGAGAAAGCAGGAAGTCCAATGTGGAAAAGCAATCCTACCCCTTTCGTCCACCAAATCCTCCCCAGATGTAAGATTCACAGGGTGAAAACGTCAACTTACCTGTGTGTAGCACCAACTCTCAGCTACGGGGCCACTCGACATTTCTGCCGGAGGTGGAGGACTTGGAACCCTTGACATCGCCAGTTTGAAGGTTAAACGAGATTTCCAAAGTCAGGGAGCAAAGATTTCTGTTCCCTCTTCACCCTGGTCAGATCCAAGAGCAAGAAGACTTTATTAAATTATTGAGATACTATCCTAACTATTGTTTGACCTGCTAGAGACTGGAAGTTTTGTCTCCATATTGTTTGAGTGGCTCCTTACCATTGAGGTCCTAATTTTTTTTTTTTTTCCCCTGAGATGGAGTTTCACTCTTGTTGACCAGACTGGAGTGCAATGGTATGATCCCGGCTCACTGCAACCTCCACCTTTCCTGGGTTCAAGTGATTCTCCTGCCTAAGCCTCCTAAGCTGGGATTACAGGCATGCACCACCACGCTTGGCTAATTGTGTATTTTTAGTAGAGACGGGGTTTCTCCATATTAGTCAGGCTGGTCTTGAACTCCCGACCTCAGGTGATCCACCCGCCTTGGCCTTCCAAAGTGTTGGGATTACAGGCGTGAGCCACCGTGCCCGGCTGAGGTCCTAAATTTAAATGTTAACATCAGAGAAGACTATCTAATGTAAAGTAGTCACCTAGTCACAATTATATCACCCTATACCTCTGCACAATACTCAATAACTATATTGCTGAATGAATTTACTCGAAGGGTATTTAAAGTGTATCTATGAAAAGGCTGCCTGAAGAGGAGACAGCATCATTAACACCAGACATAACTTGCCATGGGCTCCTTCCTTTGGGGTACAAATACTCTACTCCTAAAGCAAAATGACCTTGTTACCCTCTCTAAGTTTGCTTCATCTTCTCCTATGCTTCACTGCAAACTTAAGGAGCCTTCTATTCCTCAACCCATTGCTAGCTGCTCTCTTGAAGGGGAATATTTTTACACCTTTCTTAGATGTATTCCTTTCTCTGAAGCATTCGTGATCTCTCCCTGCTTACATTCCTGTCACCACTTGATATTTCAGATTCTTCTCCTTGCTCTGTTTTGTGATCATTCCTCAGTTTCTTTTACTAGATTATCTTCGTCCACTGTTGCTCCCCATGGTTTAATCCTCAATCATTTTCTCAATCTACATTCTCTTTATGTCAATTTTTTGTTTTTTCATCAGTCAGACATATCTTTATGGCAATTTCATCCATCCCAACAATGTCAAATTTCTACCTTTATACAAATGTTTTCCAAATCTCTACAACTCTCACCTCTCTCATAAGCCTCAGACCATTCTCCAATAACTGCTATATATCTCAATGGGGTGTCTCAGTAGCAAATCAAATCCAACTCAAAATTCTTCCCTCCAAAGCCTTTCTAAATACCAAAGTCATTCAAAAAACTGGTGAACTTGGGGATGAGGGAGTAGACTGGGGAGTTGTAGGTTCAAGGGATACAAAGTTGCAGATGGGTAAGATTAATCCATCTAGAGAAGATCGACTGTACAACATGAGGGCTATAGTTAATAATATTGTATTGTATAATGGAAGTTTGCCAGAAGAGATTTTAGGTGCTTTTACCACCTACGCGTGCACACGCACACACACGTACACACATACGTGCGCACACACACGTACACACAAAAGGTAACTGTCAGATAATGGATATGTTAATTGGTTTGACTATAGTAATCATTTCACTATGCATATGCAAATCAAAATATTATGTTGCATACCTCAAATATATACAATTTTTACTTTTTTTTTTTGAGACAGAGTCTTACTTTGTAACCCAGGCTGCAGTACAGTGGCTCGATCTTGGCTCACTACAACCTCTGCCTCCCAGGCTGAAGCAATCCTCAGCCTCCTGAGTAGCTGGGACAACAGGCATGCACCACCATACCACCTTGCTAATTTTTTGTATTTTTTTGTGGAGACAGGGTTCTGCCATGTTGCCCAGGCTGGTCTTGAACTCCCAGACTCAAACAGTATGCCCACCTTGACCTCCCAAAGTGCTAGGATTACAGAGATGAGCTACCATGTCTGGCCACAATTTTTTTTAATTGGTGAATTTGGTTACAATTTCTAAGCACCATAATAAACAAAGACAAAAGACTACAAAAAAAAAAAAAAAAAAAAAAAAAGCTTGTAACGTATGACAAACGGACTGAATAAAAAATTGATATATAAATTGTTTCTGTGAAATCAATTGGGTGTATCTAGTACAGTGGAAAATACATGTACCCTAAAACTTACTAATTCCACTTTTAACAATACATGTGCTACAGCTGTGATTCTGAAGTGTAGAGTGGACCAGAATCTCCTTTTAAACAGATTGCTGGCCCCACCCCCAGAGTTTCTGATTCAGAGATTTGGGATGGGCCCAAGTTTGCATTTCTAACAAGTTCCCAGATAATCCTTTGAGAACTGCTGCCCTAGAGAAACTCTACATGTGGCCACAAAATACAGACAAGGGTTTTCAATGTGGCACCGTTAATAACAGTGAAAAACTAGAAACAAACTAAAAATCCTTTAGTAGGGGAATAGATAACTAATTTGTATTATTTCCATATAATGGAAAACTATACTTCAGAATTTAAAATTAATGAACTAGGCTGGGCGCAGTGGTTCACACCTGTAATCCCAGCACTTTGGGAGGCTGAGGCAGGCAGATCACCTGAGGTTGGGAGTTTGAGACCAGCCTGACCAACATGGAGAAACCCTGTCTCTACTAAAAATGCAAAACTAGCCAGGCGCGGTGGCTCACGCCTGTGATCCCAGCACTTTGGGAGGCCGAGGCTGGCAGATCACGAGGTCAGAAGATCGAGATCATCCTGGCTAACACGGTGAAACCCCGTCTCTGCTAAAAATATAAAAAATTAGCTGGGCGTGGTGGCGGGCACCTGTAGTCCCAGCTACTCAGGAGGCTGAGACAGGAGAATGGCGTGAACCCGGGAGGCAGAGCTTGCAGTGAGCCGAGATTGCGCCACTGCACTCCAGCCTGGGCGATGAGCACGACTCCATCTCAAAAAATAAAAAAATTAAATTAAATTTAAAAAAATGCAAAATTAGCCGGCTGTGGTGGCGTGCGCCTGTCATCCCAGCTACTCGGTAGGCTGAGGCAGGAGAATCGCTTGAACCCGGGAGGCGGAGGTTGTGGTGAGCCGAGATTGCACCATTGCACTCCAGCCTGGGCAACAAGAGCGAAGCTCCATCTCAAAAAATAAAATAAAATAAAATAAAAGAACTAGATCTACAGCACCATGGCCATCAAACACAGCGCTAATAAAAAAAAAGCAAGTTTAGGAATGACATGTACAGTATATTATTTATGCAAATTTAAGGTTTATATATGATGTAGTAAAAGTAAACAACAACAACAACAAAAACCCAGCCTTGACAGCCTATATATCAGTTTCATATTGGGAGAAGCAGGGAGGAGGAGGAGACTGGGAAAATAATATAAGATACTTCAAGTTTATCTCTTGTGATTCTTTTAAAACAAGGATACAAGGAAAATATGATAATACAAATATCTGTTAATTAGGGATGACAGGTACTTGGGTATAAACTACTTTTTGTAGTGTTCTGCATTATTTTTATTGTTTTGATATTGGAGCAATTGTGTAAGGATGTATTCCATTATATCACACATCTCTGGTTTATAATATACAAGGGAGAAATTTCCTGAGCACCTAGTTTGTTTTCAAAGGCCAAACAATATGAATCTTATAACTGATCATGTTGCCCTCCTTGCTTGGCTACTAGGAAATCCTGAGACAAGTTTGTGACTCATCTCTTAAAACTGTAAGCCCATATGCCTGTTTTATATGCTATATTTTATACAGGATCATATGTTCATTCTATAATAGTTTTATTTTCTTACTTATTCCCTTTGATATAATTCTCTCAACTTTTAATCTTTTATATGTTAAGTATTTTTGGAATCTGCCTCAAATCCTTTGCAGAAAGAGGTATAACATGGTGGCTCATGCCTGTAATCCCTGGACTTTGGAAGGCCAAGGCAGGCGGGTCACCTGAGGTCAGGAGTTCAAAACCAGCCTGGCCAACATAGCGAAACCCCATCTCTACTAAAAATACAAAAATAAGCCGGGTGTGACAATGCACACCTGTAATCCCAGCTACTTGGGAGGCTGAGACAGAGAATCGCTAGAACTCAGGAGGTGGAGGTGAAGGTGGAGTTTGCACTGAGCCAAGATGGCGCCATTGTACTCTAGCCTGGGAGACAGAGGGAAAAAAAAAAAAAGTAACAACAAATCACACAATAACTCAACTCACAAATATTCACTGATTCACTGACTACTTAAATAATAAACAAGGAGATTAATAAACTACAAGTGCGCCTTCACAGAGTAATACTCATAAATAGATGTTATTCCCATGGTCATAAATGCTATCTTACAGGAATTGACCTTTTTTTTTTTTTTTTTTTGAGACGGAACCTCACTCTGTGGCCCAGGCTGGAGTGCAGTGGTGATCTTGGCTCACTGCAAGGTCCGCCTCCCAGGTTCATGCCATTCTCCTGCCTCAGCCTCCTGAGTAGCTGGGACTATAGGCACCCGCCACCATGCCCAGCTAATTTTTGTATTTTTAGTAGAGATGGGGTTTCACCGTGTTAGCCAGGATGGTCTCCATCTCCTGACCTCATGATCTGCCGGCCTCGGCCTCCTAAAGTGCTGGGATTACAGGCATGAGCCACCACGCCCGGCCAGGAATTTACAATTAAGGCATCTGTGAAATCACAGATGAAGCTAACATGGTGTGCTATCTCACTTAAGCTAGCAAACTAAGCACTGCAGTGGCATTTGGGCTTCCCTGGCTTGTGTAATTCATGATTCCATGATAACATGAAGAAAAGAGGCCAAATGCTACTGTGGTCACCTCCAAGACAGGCTTGCATTTGATGGAAAACACATTCTCAAAGAACTGTTTTATTTTTCCATTAATGAGTAAGTATAAATTAGCTAATTTTACAAATCCCAATTATCATTAATGGCCAGAGTGAAATTTCAAAATTCCTACTTTGGGAGAGGGTGCAATGAAGGTTTGATTTTATGCGTTAGTTAGGAACAAAAAATTTGGCTCTGGAGAGGTGGATTATAGGCACAGCTCTACACTGAGTAATCATAAAATAC